TGCTGCATATGGTGTTGGCAGGGAAGAATTAGCCTTTGCAGGAATTAGGTCTTCATTAAAGGCTCTGCACACAGAGCAATTTCTTCCCATTTGTCACCCCCTGCCAGCTCCCTTAGCTCCTGCAGAATTCCACCCAGACAGGACAACGTGTGCTGCCTCTCCAGCCTCATGGTCTTCATTTCCAGTCAGTTTTGCCTATTATTGGATAGGGGCTTTATTTGATGCCCCAGGAATTGGCCAAGGTAAGTGGCATTAAAGCAACTTGTATTTCATTAGGAGAAAACAACTGCCTGTAATCACCTAAATGTTCCAGGTATGGAGCAGCTCTTGGAAATACATTGAACCAATCCATCCCCAGTAAACCAGTCACAGAAGGAATTTTATCACCCTCTGGAACAAAAGCCCATAACAAGGAAAAGATAACACAGCTTAATAATCCCTAAAAACAAGAATAAGAGGCTTCCTATCTTGTAATTAGTCAGTGTGGCAAAGGAGGAACTGCTTTTTTGGGGCCATGTTGCATTCATTTGGTGGGGAAGGTGCCACCTTCTGTTCATTTGCATGGTTTGGGGAATTTTGGAAGACCTAAAGAAGGTGAAAGCACATCCAGCAGAGCCTCTTTTGCCAGCACAGGAAAAGAAAACAAATGCAAAGTGTAGGATTAAACATCCAGCAGCAAGGCTTCCTTCCACAGCCCAGAGACTATCAGTGCTTTACTTCTAATGCTGTCCTGGACAATCTGCACGAACAGTGTGTTTCTGCCTCTTACCTGCACTGCATCCAGATATTTCAGTATCCCAGGTTCCAGTTTCTGGAAGTTTACAGTGGCCAGTGCTATTGGGAAAAGAAAAATGCATTAATTTAGACTCATACAAAATGTGTACAAGACCATCTCTTTAGGCATCATCCCAGCACAAGCTCAGGGGGAACTGGAACATCTTCTGAGCCACCAAAATAACCTCCTCAGAAATTTCCCATCAAAGTCTTTGCTTGGTGTGCAGAATCCAACTGGACCACAGCACACAGTGGAATACTTGCAGGACATCCTTTAGCTCCAGTGTTCAGAGACACTAGAAAGAGAGAGCATCAGAGCAGCTCATGGGGTGTCACAAGCTTTAATTAGAGCCTGTAAAGCTCATGGAGATCCTCAGATAAAAGGCACCACATATAAAGGCAAACTTATTAGGAAGTCCTGTATGGATGTCACACTGATTTCTCAGGCTTTAGCTGCAGGAATAGCTACCCAGGCAATATCCTACAGCTTGTCATGTCTGTGGGGGTGAGCGAGAGGAATCATAGGACAAGTGAACCAGAGAGAATGGGAATTGGAAGAGTTTTCTGTGCTTCTGCTCTGTGCAGAGCAGGGAAACCAGCTGTGTGTGCTGCAGGATCTTCAGGCCCTGCAGTGGGAACACCTGCCTGCAGGACAGAAGACACTAATCTGGGATCAGTGTCCCAGCCCCTGGCACACATCTGAACCATTTTCATCCTCTTCTAGCCCGTGGTCACACTGATTTTTCTTCCAACTTTGAAAATGCAGGAGCAATGATATGATTCTGTATTCAAAATCAACTTCTTACATGAGAGCCGGGAGCAAATCCAGCCCCAGTTGTGTCAGACTGAGCACTTCAAACAGAATATTTACAGAAGAAAAAGCTCACTTCTCACTATTTATACCTTGATTTTAAGAGGCTGACCCATGTATTGTGCTGAGCTAAAGAAACTGGCACAGAAAACATGAAGGGAGAACAAAATAAAACGTGGATTTAGCACTGATGTAATACATTATGAGGCAATCCTGAAGGAGAACGAGCCCAACTCTGCTTTTCATGCAGATTAACAGCACACCATGAAAATGGAGAGTCCCCAAAGCCTTGCTGATCCTTCTCACAGGACCCCCCCACACACAAAGAGCTTCCCACTGTGGTCCTGGAGGGACACCAGAGGCTTTATTTTGTCACCTGTGAGCCCCAGAAGGGTTGTACCAGGTCAGAGCAGAGCCACCCAGCTTGGAATCATGGAATGGTCTGGGTTGGGAAGGACCTTGAAGATCATCTTGTCCCTGGGCCATGGGCAGGGACACCTCCCACTATCCCAGGTTGCTCCAAGCCCCATCCAACCTGGCCTTGGACACTTCCAGGGATGGAAAGTAATTCTGACTCTCCTTTAGCTCCTTCCTACCCTCCCTGGTGTCCCAATTTGACCCTCAGCTACTCCACACATCTGATGACTGACATTCTGACTCTGATGAGCAGGTTGTTGTGACATCCAAGAGTCAAAGTGGCATCCAAGAGCTCTCAGCATGAATGCACCAGAAAAGGCAATTCCAGACAAGAAGGAGCTCTGAGGCAGCAAACATTCCCTCAGGAGATGAGGGCTAGGCAGGAATTTCCACACCAGCCCTTCTCCTGCCAGCTCTCTGGCAGGGAGAGAGTGACTCTGTGTGGTCACAGCTGAAAACTGCTGCACATCCACAAAAATCTAAATGAGAACATCACCCCACTGGTGAAGGCCCATGGACTTCCCTTACTGAGTTGGTCCCTCTCATACTGTCATATAAAAACAAGAGGAGGAGAAAAAAGGAGAGGAAATTCTTTCCCTTTAATCATCTCTATGGCTGAGACTAGAAAATTAACATTATTTCTGACAGTGATGACAGGAGCACTCAAAGTCTGCACCCTGCAAACACTTCATTCAGGGAAGCAACTCCTCAGGCAGGCAACTGGAACACAGGAGAGATCAGAGGCAAAGGACAGAGTAAATCTCAGCTGAAATGATCTGGAAATATGAGAATCAACGTTACACTGTGCCCCAGACAGGCAGATTTAGGGCTCGGTGGAACTCAAACAGCAGCACCTCCATTTCTTCACAGGGAGAAGGAGGAGCAGCATTTTTAAACTTTCATAGAATAAAATTTTTCAAAAGGGAAAATGGCCATCCTTTTGCACTGTGCACATCTGATACCCTCCTTTACCTGCCTAAGTACAGATGCCCAATCCTGGGCTGTACCTTCCATGGAAAAAACCACCTAAACCTTTCTGGGAAGGGACTGGGCTTGACAGAACACACTTGGTGGGTGCAGCTTAGTCAATGAAATGTCCTGTTCCCCAAGGATCACAGCCTTACCTTGTCTCTACCAGCACATACCTCCTTCCACCAAGCCAAATGACAGCCCATTCTTGTTGTCTGAGGTCATCAACAGTTCCACAATCCCTCTCTTTAACAGGGCCTATGTGAAAAAGAGGAAAAGCCATTGTGTTAACAGCCTGAGGGACGTGTCAAAACACTTTTCATGCCCTTCACCCTTGGGAAAGCAAAGGCAGTGCACTCAAAAGGGTGAGATAAGGACAGGGATTTGAGGTTTTGTGTGAGTTGTGGGTAATTTTTAGTCAGTATTTAATTCCAGGAAGACTGTAACTTGGCCATATATTCAAGATGTGAATTAATCCCCTTGCCACATTCAAAGCCTGAGGCCCAAACCAGAACACAGAATAAGAGCCCCACCTCCCATCAGATGCTACTCCCACCAAAAAGGAACCCCTGCAAATCCTGCTTTCCCACATTTTCATCTCTAACCACTCTACTTCCTCGGATGCAAATTGCACAAGATCCCAGAAAATGATGAATCAGCACTGCAAAAATACACCCACAGGCCTGGCAAGGGGATCTGTCCTGACAAGTCTGGGGAACAGCCCAAACTCTTTCCTCCCCGAGCCATGGAAAAGCAAGGATGAGTTTACAGACCCCCCAGAGTCTCTGTAGCCCGTTTAGGGCCCTGAAAACCATTTGCTTGGCATTATGTCTTTAAGTTGTGTGTACATACACTTCGTATTTAACCTTGCAGGCAAAGTGAAACCACTCCACGAGATGGAGTTGGGGCAGGAGCAGGCCCAGCTCTGAGCAGATTAACACTCCTGCCACGGGATTTATTTGCTTGAAGAGCCTCTGTGCACCCTGAGCAACAGGACAACCTGAGCCTCAGGGTGAAGCTGAAGTACCCAAAAGGTTACAGAAAGATCTGATAAAGCTGTAGCAGGGAACACACAAGTTCCAGCACATATACACCGGAGAGGTGACCTCCCTCACGTGCAGCAACACTCTTAAGCATTCAGTGAGAAGAAATGGAACAATAAAGACACACTGCAGATCTTGTTATCTGCCTGACTTTGGGGGCAAACAAACGGGTCAGACTGCTGTGAGATCCACCAGGATAAGCTGCCCTAGTGGGCACAGGTCAACTCCTTATCACCCACTCAGGGGCATGATCCAGGGCACAGTCTGATCTCCTTTTGACAAGGATAAAGGAGGTATTAGGCAAATTAACCTGCCTGATGTTGAGCCCCAGATTACACAAGTTTAGGAGAGTGCTGGTGGCTTGTTCAGGAAATTCAACAAAGAAAAAACTTTATCTAATGTCATCTAAGAGAAGCAAAACAGGACCCCCAGAAGAAGCTTCTTCAAGACCATGTCTCTGGAAGACATAACACAGGCTTATCAGCACTGAGAGGGCCACGTGCCTTCTCTTCCACTCCAGGAAGAAACACCACGGGAAATTCAGCTGGATCAGGGACTGACGTGTTCAAGAGTCTCTGAAGCCACTCTCAGAGTTATTCAGAAGCAAGAACACACTCTCAGGAAGGTGGTTTATGGGAGGGACTGAGCACAGAAAGAAGCAGAAGTGCCACCATTACCATTTTGACATAGGCCATGTAGCTGGGATCTTTGGCGTAGGAACCGTATTCGTTCTCCACTTGCACTGCAATGATGGGACCTCCTTTCTTGTACTGTGGGCAGCAAAAGGGAGTTGTTGTTCAGCATGATTTCTAATCCCAGGGAACGAAATCACAGTGGCAGGAGAGATGTACCAGCCTCAGATGGGCTCAGCTCCACCCTCTCATCCTCCCAAACCGACACAGACAACTACAGCCCTTGCTGGTTCCTAGAGCAAAACTGGTACTTTTGTTACTGCTTCAGCCTGCTGCGGTGACACAGAGCTCAGATCCATCTGTCCCCACCCACGGGGAGGGTAGAGGGTTGTACTTGCCTGGAAGGGGACAACAACACGCATCAGGCGATCAAAATAGGCATCCACGGCCTCTGTGAAGCCCTTGTAGGTTGTTCTCAGCTGCATCTCGGGGTCTTGCAGCAGCCAGCTGGGGAAAAGGAGCAAACAGAATGTGTTTGAGTCTCCTGCCCGGTCAAGCTGCCAGAGGTAACACCAGCCCCACCTGGGCAGGAATCACTGGTGTTCCTGTGCCACAGTGCAGGTATGGACAACACCAGGAGTGCCAGTGACACCCCACCACTCACACTTTTAAATAACCCCAGGCTCCAACTGCCAATCTCTGCCCCTCCTTTTTGTTCTGCACTTCAGGCCTAAACTATGTCATAAACTTGCCCAAATATTTCAAGGGTCAACCTTATCTCTCTAAAGGTTACTCTGGAATTCCCTGCATTCCCAAGGGAGCTCTACAACCAAGTGCTCCTTCATAAAGATCCCAAACACGGCTCAAAACAAAGCTTCCAGTCATTGTTCCCATTGTTTCTACTTACAAGACTTAGTTCTGTTTGGGTTTAACACAGAAAAGGGCAATTTGTTGAAGAGCTCAACAATATAGTGCTGTGACCATTTGAACAGAGTGAGCCTGTGCCTTCCTTGTCTCTGCAAAAGGAGGGATTTAACTAATATCCTTCCAGAGGCCTGAAAAACTCAACTCCTCTGTGCTCAGTGCAGCTCAGTGGGCTTACGAAATCATCCATAAAATGGGAATAGGACCGTTGCTCTTTATCGGAATTTTTAATCTGTCTGATAAAAAAATACGTGGTTTTGTTTTTTTTTGTCCCAAATGCTTCCCTCAATTGAACTATTTACACACTTACCTGGGCAGACCACCAAGGTCCCATTCTGAGCAGATGTAAGGTCCAGGTCGCAGAATCACCCACAGCCCATTTTTAGCTGCCAGGGAAAGGAAGGCCCTGGAGATCCAGAGAGCACAATTATTGCCTGCCTGCAGAATCCCTGCCCCACACACTCCCAATACTCCAACCACCATGAAATTCAGGTACCAAAACCAGCAGGGAATTGCTTGATGAAGCAATCCAACTGTGCTGGATTGGTGCTAAACCCATTAAGTTCCCAGAACTCCAGAAAGCAGAGGGAGGAATTTAAGTCCCTGTTGCCTGATCAAAGGTACAGCTTTGCTTCAGGAGCTGGAAATGACATCTTCATCCAGACCCCCCCACACACACACACCCTCCCACAAAACAGGAGTATTTAATAACAGAGCTGTCTGTACCACATACTCTAGATCCAGGTTCCGCTTGAAGTCAAACTTCCCTCTTTCTCTCTCATGGAGGTTCCACGGCACGTACCTGAAAGGCAGAGTTAGGGCAGGGGAGGGGAAGGATAATGCAGGCTGGGATGCTTAGGAAGAAAAGCTCCACTGCTCTTTTCTGTGTCATTTCTCACAATAAGAAATATTGTTGACACTGTTATGGCCCGCTGGAATTAATGACAAAGTCCCCCAGAGGAGGGGAGAGGCTGTGAGGAACTTGGAGAGAGCCTGGGGAGGGAGGACACTTACGTGGTGAGGGTGTTTAAGCCACAGGCTTTCATTTTGAGCATCCGATCTTCCCAGTATTCCCTGGGCACTCGGAAATAGTGCATGGAACCCCCAAATATGCGGAAGGGCATTCCTTCCAGCAGGAACTGGGAGTTCTCTGTCTGCAAGCCAAGGGTCCTTCCCCACAGCCCCAGAGGGGTCAGCTCGCTCCAGTTAAACCTGGGAGAGAGAGAGAGAGAGAGAGACAAATGAGCATCCTGGGGAAGAGATGTGTCCCCCTAGGACAGGCTGCTCCTTCCACCTTACCCAGCAGGACCAGCTCTGACCTTCCTGCTTCTTCAGTAAACCACACTCCTTATCACATAGAGCATACAAATTGCTCAGAAGACTATAAAACAGTTGGGAGATCTTCCCAAGATGTGGATTTGATATTCATTTCACAAGCAGCTTCCATCCTGAATGCCCCAAGTCACTCTGCCACACTCTGCAGCTGAAATGCAGCCCTGCTCAGGCATGGAGCATGGAATTCACTTGCTGAAAACACAGGATGGGGAAGTTTTCACTCACAATATTCACAAACACTTCCATAACTTATGAAATTTAAGATCTCCCTGTCTTTTAGTGGATGGCACACAGTGGCTGACTTCCAGATCCTCGTTCCCCCACCAGTATTGTCACCCTGAATGTCTCGTGGGCTCTGGTATCTTCCAGTGCAACACGTGGAAAAATTAAAAACCTCTCACCTGTTCCCTGTGAACAGAGAACCTTTGCTTTAATTTAATGAACCCCCTGGATTATATTCACCACCAAGGAAAGACTAAGCCAGCTGTCACCACAAACTTACCTCTGCCCAAATGGCTGCTATTAACTCCTGAACACGTTATTTGCCAAAAGAACTGGAGCAAAGGAGGCACCAGTCCCTCAGCACTTACCAGGGTGAGCATTCCCACTGTCACAGCTCCATCAGGTCAGCTCCTGCACCAACAAACTGCTTCCCACTGCCTTACAGGCTTCCCCAGCTCATTTTGGCTGGCCCAAGAAACCATTTCATCACCAAGCCCAGCTACAAAGCAGCTTCACTGCCTCCATCAGACCACCCCAGTTGCACAACTCTGAATACACAGAGAGTCAGACAACAGCAGCTTGTTATCAGAGCCAGATGTGAGGAATGAATTCCCAGCTCCAGAAAGCAAGAGTGACCCACACATTTGGGAGAAACATCACACTGAGAGAAGAGAGGAGCACCTAAGCCTTCAGCTCTTGGCTACACTATGTGTAAAGCAGTTATTAGCAGAGGGGGGAGGATGGCTCAGAGCTCGTGGGATTGCAAACCAGCAGCCTGCAGTGACTGCCTGTCCTCTGGTAAGACAAGGAGACTACAAAGGAACTAAATCTAAGACTTCCAGGGTACTGCACGGGCTGGCTGACAAGCTCAGAGGGTACCTGTGTAGCACAGCATTCTCACAGGGCTCTGAAACAGCCGGCAGCAGGCAGGGGTAGTACCTGGAAAAGGAAGCCAGATTAGATATTCACTGCCTTCAGTCAACATTCATTGCCAAACCATTCACAGAAACAGTGCTGAGCAAGGAGACAGTGATGCATCTGTTCAAAAGGTGGTGTAATTGTAACAGTTTATGAAGACAGTGCAGCTCAAAGTAGGAGAAATCGGTGCAAAACACCAATCTGCCATATTTAAAGGGTGACTGCCTGAGTAAGATCGGGATAGAAGATGCTTATCTACCCAAGAAAGTGGGCACAGCCAGAGAATAATGATGTGAGGCTGGGAAATGGCAGCATTGCTCCCAAGGAGTTACCAGGAACTTCAGCAGCAGGGGAGGAGGTTCTCAATCCACACACAGGACATCCTGTGGCCACCTGCCCTTCCATTCTGCTAGAACCATCTCACACACACTGTAACTTTAGCACTTCAGATTCCAAAACAGCAGCTGTATCTACTTCTATTTCTTGCTGGCAAGCCTGAGGTGGAAAGCTCAAAAGGGTCTGGAGATGTAAAACTCCAGTTTTTAAAGATTAGGATGGAAAACATCTAAGTTTCCCAGTTGTTTCTGAGCTAGACAGAGCCCTAAATTAGCCCTGCACACAGAAGTACTGCAGACTGTGCCAGAATGAAGGCTGTGCTCAGGAAGCACACACAGCCAGATAAAAATAAACTAATCACTTAAGCTCATCTTCTTAATCCTGGGCATAACTAACTTGGCACATTTCCATCAAGTTTCCAACCTTAAAACTCCCCAGCTCTAGTATTTTTTCTCACCCAGAAGGACTGGTGGGAAGCTCCCAGGCTCCCAATATTTTCAACATATTATCCTAGATATCCTGAAATCACATCTCTCATTAGGATCTGTATAAGTAACCTCAGAAAAAAAACATTTGTGTGACTCAGCAGAGCTTCCTCCTGGAGCAATCCAGAGCTGGATGTGGCACTTAGTGCCATAGTCCAGTAACTATGGTGGCAGTGGATCAAGGAGATTATCAACTTGATGATCTCAAAGGTCCTTTCCAACCCATCTGATTTTATGATTCTGTGGATTGCCACAGTTCAAAGCCTACCTGGGCTCTGTAATTCCTCCTGAGAGCAATTTATAGCTCCCAGGAGACTTTTTTCTCACTTCTATAATGACAGCACAGATTGCAAAGAATCTTTTTTTTTTTTTTTTTTTTTTTTTTTTTTTTTTTTTTTTTTTTTTTTTTGCTTTGCTAGAAGGCCTATTTTGTCCCTCAGTAGCCATCCCTGGAAGTGTTCCAGGCCAGGCTGGATGGGGCTTGGAGCAACCTGGGCTGGTGGAAGTTGTCCCTGCCCATGGGCATGGAACAAGACGATCTTTAAGGTCCCTTCCAACCCAAACCATTCTGGGATTTTGTGAGTCTGTGATTTCATCTCTGCTTCAGGGAAGTTTCTTTTTCTTTTTGCAAAAAGTATCATTCGTGCAGACCAGCTGGGAGAAAAAGCTAATGAAAAAGAAATAAGTAATACCAGGGGAAAGAGCCTGGAGACCATTAACTCGCCTTGCTGATGCTACAGGAGGTGCTGCAGAGGACAAGGGACTTTGCAGTTAATCCCTAAGCTCCACTGGGACCTGCCTCAGAGGGCTTTGCTGTTTATTCTGGGCTTCCTCTTGGCCACAGGAAAGTGAAAGCTCTGAGCTGCCCTCGCTCCCAGCCCATTGTCCTGCCCCGTGGGGGTCAGACAAGCCCCCTTCCCGGTGCCCATTCACAAGGCTGGGGTAACAATCACGACATTTTGTAGCACAGTTTATTCCCAGGTGACCTGGGCAATGGAAATAAACAGCATGTACCAATGGATACAGTGTTTTATGGATCACTCCTACAGGAGACACATTCCCCTGCCTTTATCAGGTATTGGTTTGCAATAATCCTCTCTAAGAAGCCACAAACCCAAAGCCAGCTGCAAAAGAATTTTGCTTTTAATTATGCAAAGATTCATCAAGGCTTTTCCACAGACCTGAGCAGTAACTTCTGACAATGAATTGAAGAACCCGTTATAAAATATCCAAGTGGCAATAAATAACCACATCTTCCCTTGCCTGTATATCCCACCTCCATATATTTCCATGTGTATTTCCATGTATATCTCCAGCATTTCACTGTCGGGGACTGAAGAGCTCCTGTCACTTGGAAGCCCCTGCGCACCTTTGGCTGTAAGAGGGGACATGCTCATGCAGGAAGGAGCATCACCCCCAAAATGAACATGATCTAAAACATGTGGGATCAAAGCTAGAAGCTTGAATAACTTCTTGGTATGGCAGGTGGAACAGCTGCAGGCCTGGAGTGTGCAAACAGGAGCAGGAGAAGGGAGATAACAGGGTTAGACAGGAGAGGTGGGCACGGTCCCTGGGTACCACACTGCTCCATCCATGTGGCCACCGGTGACGTGGGGACACAGGACGGGGAGAGCCAGCCCCAGAACGGGCTGGAGAGAGGGAAACAACACTGTGCGAGCACATCAGAGAGAGCTCCAGAGCTGGGTTAGATCCGCGGGAGCGATTGATTTGCAAAGCGCACCGTCCATCAGCACGGCGATGATGTAAAGCCTCTCCGGAGCCAAGGTCGGCAGGAGAGCCTGTGCCCAGCAGAGAACCTGATTTATGGCGCTGGCAACGGAGTCGTCCCCCAGCCATTACTCCTGGAGGCGGACAAGAGCCGTGGGGATCAGGTGCAGCGTTTATTTAAAGCTGGAGGCAATTCCTGCACTGCTCGCCCCGGTCCTTCCCACGCTCGGCCGCAGGAATGCCGACGGGAGCGGGGGGTCCCTGATCACACAAGACGTGACTCTGTCCTGCCTGACCCCCAGCACGTTAAGCCGCCGGCAGCGCGCGGGGAGCGCAGCCGTTAATTACGTTAATTCCGTTAATAACCGTCCCCCCCACCACCACCACCCCCGATCCCGGTCCCATCCATCCATCCATGCGCAGTTCTCCCGCAGCCAACCCCATTCCCGGCGGGCAAGGCCTGCTCCCAGCAGGGCACCGCCACTCTCCCAAGCCCTCCCCGCTGCCCCCACCACCGCGGGGACCCCTCCGACCCGCCCGCCCCGCCCGGGGGGCGCGACCCCCGCGCCCCTCCCTCCGCCCCGCCGCGCCCCGCCGGGGTCTCACCTGCGCAGCAGCAGCCACAGCACGAAGAGGGACAGCGCGGCGCCCCCGAGGCGGCGCTGCCGCCGCCCTCCGCACAGCCACATGGCCGGGGGGGGACCGCACCGAGCCCCCCGAGCCCACCCGGACCCCCCCGGGCCGCGAACCCCCGACCCGCCGGGCGCTCACAGCGGCCCCGCCGCGCCCGCCCGGCCCCGCCCCCGAACAGGGGCTCCCACGCCATTGGCCGCCCGGGCAGCCAGGACACGCCCATCGGACGCGCCCCGGCCTCCCATTGGCTGCGGGCGCCGCGCGCGCGCGGGAAGGGGCGGGGCCTGCGAGGGAGCGGGGGAGACCCCCCAGGAGGGAGACCCTGGGGAGAGACCCCCGGATAGAGACCCCGGAGAGAAACTCTGGGGAGAGACCCCTGATAGAGACCCCCCAAGAGAGACACCCTGATAGAGACACCTGAGAGAAACTCTGGGGAGAGACCCCCCGATAGAGACACCTGATAGAGACCCCCCGATAGAGACCCCGGAGAGAAACTCTGGGGAGAGACACCCCGATAGAGACCACCAATGGAGACCCTGCAGAGACCCCCGGATACAGACCCCCAGTACAGAGAGATTCCAGAGGGAGACCCCAGAGAGAAACCCCTGGCAGAGAGCCCTGACAGAGATCCCAAAGAGAGACTTCTGATAGAAACCCCGGCTGGAGACCCCAGACACCTTGGCCAGAGCCCCCCCCCGTGCCCAAGGGTGGCTCTCCTGCCCACGCAGGGGGTCTCACCGAGGGCAGGGGGCTGTTCCTGGCTGAGCCCCAAGTGTTCACACTGATATCAAAGCACACCTTTGTCCAGACCCGCTCTAGTGGAAGGTGTCCCGAGATAATCTTTAAGGTCCCTTCCAACCCAAACCATTCCATGATTATGCTGCTAACGCTCTGTCATCTCCCCTCCCTGCCAGGTACTGCTGAGAGAAACAAGGAGGTGGTTGATTTGAAGAGGTTCATAAAGACATTAACTAAAAAAACCCTCAAGCAGAATTATTTTGCAACCCCAACTTGGAAAACTCTGTTAGCTCTGCTTAAACACCTGAAATACCACAGAGGAAAATCATCACAGCTGACACTCCAATAACATTTCCATCATTGCTTTATTGATTACAGACCCCAGGGGAAAAAAAATAGTTTAATTTACATATATTTTTACTCCCCTTACACCACTCGCAGCAATGAGGCAACACAGTTCAATATTTCTGCGCAGAAACTTGGTTTTGTCATTTGCATTTTTGTGCTGCAAAGGCTTCTTGGAGATTAAGCACCAAGATGTGGTGGGAATATGGAGAACAAGCTGTGGTGGGGACATCAGTAAAGGTGTGCGGGGAAAAGAGGGAGCGCTTCTATCTGAACAGGAGGCATCCCACCCCTGGGATAAAAGTCCCTGCACTCTGCAGGTGGTCAGAGCAGTTCCTGTGGATCACTGTCAGCATCCAGGTTTTGAAGCAGAGCAATCAACTCTCTTAAACTAAAGATTTCACTGATCCCATGGGATCAGGCTGCACCTCTGCCTGAGTTCCCACTCCAGTCCTGGCTTGCCAGAGGGGAGCAGCAGGTCTGGTGTTGCTCTTTCCAAAGAGGAGGGGTGGCAAACAGGCCAGGAGCAAGATTTGGAGACAGAGCCTTGTATTCATAGCTGTGATTTATGTGTCCAGGCTGGTGACAGCAGCTCTGCCAGGCACAGAGTGCAGCTGTGCCATCCAGCTGTGTTCCCGTTGGGATAAGGCAAGAAGACTGTTTCCACTGGGGGATCCCCCTCTCCACTCCCAAGGGAGAGAGATGGTGAGTAGGGGAGGGAAACAGGCTGAGCTGCAAGAGGCAAAGGAATTTTAAGGCTGGAGAGTGGCTCCTGGCTTCATCCCTGCAGCAGATTCCTGGCCACAATCATCCTCATGACCTCGTTGGTACCTGCAGCAGGACAGGGTTGCAAAGGCAAGACAGTTAAGAGATGATCCAACATTTCACCCCCCAAAAAGGCAAAGGGAATTGTTCCCTGATCTGCAGTTTACAGCACAGAAAAGTTCTTCCCACCAGCTGAGGTGGCATTTAGGAGATGTTGGGCCAAAACACAGCTGACAAGTGCCAGCACATTGCTTGGAAAAGGCTTCAGATGGTGGTGCTGCCTTTTATTTGGGCATTGGAAGGGTGTAGGCACCAGGCACCGAGCAGAACTGGATTTACACCAACATCTGAGCTCTCTGCATTACCATTTACAACACACACAAAGGCTGCAAGCCCACTCAGTATTGGAAAGAGGATGTCCCTTATCAGATAAGGATGTCCCTTATCACCTGGTTGTAGGTGAAAGGATTTCAAAGGAGGGAAAACAAAATGTTTAGGAGACCAAATCGAGATTAGGAAAGGCCAGACACTGTCAGAGACGTGATGTCAAAGAGTGCAGACAGACCAGAATCGCAGGAAAGGAATTGTTAGGGAGAACCATCACGTGACAAGGATGGAACTGGACAGAGGCACTGCTAACATGACAACTAAATATCTTCCTCTGCTGTAAGGCTCTTAAAATAGACAGTAACTGCTCCAACACACCCCGAGCTCCCAGCCAAGGAACTCACACACAGGACACCCAGGGGCACCTCATGCTCAGAGCAAACCAGGACTCTGCAACCCAAGAATCACAGAGTCATGTGGGCAGGTGGGGGCCTCCAGAGTGGGTTTTCTCTCCTGACTCCTCTGCCAAGTCACTGGCAGTAAGAGTGTCTCTTACCTTCCAGGATCTGGTGGACTCTGATGTCTCGCACAAACTGCTGCACTGCATAATCCTTCAAGTAGCCGTAGCCCCCGTGCATCTGCAGAGCCTGGTTACAGATCTGAGAGGAGAATATCGCTGCTGAGGTGACTTCTGGAGGACACAGCAGTGGCAGAAGCCCGGTAAGACCCCCAGGAACCTGGGCTCATTGTTTTTCCCCCGGTCACCCAATCTCATCTCTTGAACCCGTGCTGTGACACCAAAGCTCTGCTCTCAGTCCCCATCAGTGCTGCTCTCTTGCTGTATCCCGTTACCCAAGTGCTGCTTCACATCAAGGGTGCGTTTATGCGACCGGGATTGCACGGAAACAGGCGGAGATGGGGATGGGAATACCCAGGAATGGGTATTTTTAGGGAATAAGGCGATTTTTCTGGGCTGCGTGTCTGAGGTTTGGCGGATGCAAACCCGAACCGCCCGATCGCCACCTGGCGGTCACTCAGGAGAAGGGAGGGCGCTGGTTTCCATGGAAACACAACTCCGTGTGTCCCATCTGTCAATTTGGGATATAAAGCATAATAATGGCAAAAATACACAGTGCTGAGAAAGCACAGTAGCTTCGAAATTATACTGATTTAGGAAGCGTCACAGGGCAGGTTTCCTTTTCTCTCCCTTCTTGCTTTCTCTTTTCAGGGGACATTTTGATAAGGTGTGAGAATAATAAGGTGTTTTTCAAAGTGATCAGGTATCTTTCAGTGGTCCTAGGAAAGACCACTCGCTACCTAGGAACGATCACCACGCAACATGGAAATTATGCTTTGAAAACACAAATGCTCTTCTCCCTGCAGAATGGTTTGGGGTGGAAGGTTCCTGGAACTCATCTTGTTCCAGACCCCTGCCATAGGCAGGGACACCTTCCACTAGCCCAGGTTGCTCCAAGCCCCGTCCAACCTGGCCTTGGACACTTTCAGGGATGGAGCGGCCACAGCTTCTCTGGGCAACCTGTGCCAGGGCCTCCCCACCCTCACAGTCAAGAATGTCTTCCTAAAATCTGATCTAAACCTCCTCTTTCAGTGTGAAGCCATTCCCCCTTGTCACTACCTGCTCTTGTAAATATTCCCCCTCCAGCTTTCTTGTAGGCTCCCTCAGGTCCTGGAAGGCTGCAATTACATCACCCAAAGCCTTATTTTTTTCCAGGCTGAACAAATCCAATTCTTTCAGCCTTTCCTTCCAGGAGAGGTGCTCCATCCCTCTCATCACCTGGGTGGCCTCCCCTGCACTGGCTCCAACAGGTCCATGTCCTTCTATCTAAATGAGGCTCAGTGAACACACTCGGGTCTGGTTTGGCTATGGCATCAAACTTCCTCCTGCCACCCTGGGCACCAAGGGGGGTTCTCAGAAGTGCTGACAGCGAGCAGTGTTTGAGTGACCTACCAGGAAGCACTCGTCGGTGGTGAAGAGCTTGGCCATGGAGCAGAGCACGGCCGCGTCCTCCCGCCCGTCCTGCAGGGCCCGCGCCGCGTGACGGACCATCAGCCGCGCCGCCACCAGCCTCGTGGCCATCTCTGCCAGCCCAAACTGCAGGTACTGCCACAGGGAGCACGGGGTCAGCACCCCCAGGGGGGCCTGAACCACAGCCCCACTGCCCTCAGGCAGCGCCCGGCCCCGACCGCGCTTCCTTACGCAGGGAAAGGGCGTTCCTGACTTCTCCAGGGAAAACCCCGAGAAGGGAGTGATGGCACCTCTGGCTGCCTGTTCACAGGAGCAGGAAGAGCACAGGGGTGCAGAGCTGATGGAAGGGTTACCTGATTGTTTGCCAGGGGTTCCCCGAACTGTTTGCGGACGGTGAGGTGTTCCTGAGCCAGGAGAATGGAGGCATGAGCAGCTCCCAACGAGCACGAGGCTGGTGGGAGAGGCCAAGGGCACAGGGTGAATATGGAGCTAATTCAGATGAACATCAAGGTGATCCTGCCCTCCACCCCCTGCCCTTCTCACCGATGTTTATCCTGCCTCCATTCAGCCCCTGCATGGCGATGCTGAAGCCCTGCCCCTCAGCCCCCAGACGGTTGCCAATAGGAACAGCACAGTCCTCGAAGATCACAGCCCGAGTTGGCTGGGAATTCCAGCCTACCTGGGAAAAAACAGAGCACCTTCCAGCTGCCTGAAGAGCAGCACACCTCCAGCTCCTGCAGAGAGCCCCCCAGCCTGCACCCAACCCCTCGGTCTCGTTGCCAAGCTGCCTCTGAGTGCTTTGTCCTCAGCGTGGAAACTGGAATGTACTTGAGAAAATGCACAGATCCAATGAACCTTCATGTTCCTGAAACTAAAATCCTTCACTTGCCAAAAGGATGGGTATTTGGCAAACTTCATCAAAGCT